GCAGGCGGACTCTCAACCACTGCGCCACCAGGGAAGCCCTGCAATAGTCTTTTGACTAAAGCAGTCCTGAGCACACTTGGACACAAAGGGATAAGACAATGTGCCCACATCTCAATGGAAAGAGTGTCAAATAATTTGGAAGCCACGTTTTGAAACTGTCACACTCAATATTCTAGTCTCTATTTTTTTCTCTTTTTTCCTAGTCTGTATTTTAATAGAAGATTTCCATTTATATTTAATGTATATTAGTCCATTTATATTTAGTGTAATGACTGACACAGTTACTCCCACGGTCTTACTTTACATTTATTATTAATTTTATATTATTATGATTTCCTCATTTGCCTTTTTCTTTTTTTTTTGCATAGGATTTTTTTAACGTCTTTATTGGAGTATAATTGCTTTACAACTATGTGTTAGTTTCTGCTTTATAACAAAGTGAATCAGCGACACATATACATACATCCCCATATCTCTTCCCTCTTGCATCTCCCTCCCTCCCACCCTCCCTATCCCACCCCTCTAGGTGGTCACAAAGCACCGAGCTGATCTCCCTGTGCTGCTGCTTCCCACTAGCCTTTTTCTTATTTGTGTTTGTTTTATCAAGTTGCTATTAGTTCCATTTTTCCCTTTATTTATTTAGAATTTCTACTATACTTTTCATCCTATTAATGGTTACTTTCTCTTTTCTTAATTTCATAATAAAACACATATTTCTCTCCTAATATTTGAAACACTCATCAATTATTTTTCCCACCAGGTTGCATTGTTTTCCCTACCAAGATGCTTAATTTTACCCTTACTTCCCCTCCCCCAGTAAAGAGACGACATCCTTAAAATACTCTCATTTTACTCCTCTCCTTTCCTCCTTTTCCCTCCAATCCCCCCCCATGAATGTTAATTTTATTTCAATGTTCATTGTGAAACCCTGCTTCCTCTTCCCTTCATCTTCCTCCAAGTTGAGGTTTCTGTACTTGCTAATTTAATACTTGTTAACTTGTTGTTTGCTTGGAGCATATCTTTGCATGTTTTCTTCACATTGGGTACATGGGTAATATCCCTCTCAATTATTATATAACCTCACCTTTCTTTTACTCTAACAAGTAGATTCTATCTTGGCTGTGTAGAGAATTTTTTAACTCCATCCTCTTACCCCAGTAATCCATCGATACCTATCCCAGTAATCACAGAAACCGTCTTCAAGTTTACAGGTTTGCAGTTGGGAATTCCAATACCAGATTGAGTCTCATTCCTTTGTAGTGAATTGTAACTACTTTCTATCTCACATTTTCTCTCTCACACTTAAGCAGAAAAGATGGGTTTATGATAAAGATGCGTGGAAACGTCTTGGAACTCAACGGCAATAATACAGCTGGGATTCTGGAATGAACTGAAGCTGGGGACCAAACACTGTCAGGGCACCCCAGTCTCTCATACTCTGTGTCTGCTCCTTTCTTCTCTTTCATTGCAAACTGCCTTTTCTGACTCCTTGTCCACAGGACAGGAAATCTGGCCACCAACAGCTTCAAATCTTACCATTTTTATTGATCCAAGCACCCAAAGAAGGATCAATTGATTCTCTCTTGGACATAATTGCATATTACTTGGAAATGTACAAATTGGCCCAATTTGAGTCATACGCCTACCCTCAGATCTGTGACCTTGGATAAGCATGATCACTGTCATAGAAATCATATAGATGGAGAAGATCTATATATAAGAAACATGGGACTTGGCAGACTATCCATGAGGTATTGACTACAGTTGAAATCATAAGAGAGAGGGTCTTTAAAGCTAAATTCTAGGAAACTGATTTGTGGAGAAACAATAATACTGATAGATAATATTTATTTCATTTGTACTATGTGCCAGGTACAACACCAAGTGCTTTACATTCATTATTTCATTTATTACATGAGGTAAGCACTGTTATTACAGATAAAGAAACTGAAGCGGGCTTCCCTGGTGGCACAGTGGTTGAGAGTCCGCCTGCCGATGCAGGGGACACGGGTTCGTGCCCTGGTCTGGGAAGATCCCACATGCCACGGAGCGGCTAGGCCCGTGAGCCATGGCCGCTGAGCCTGCGCGTCCGGAGCCTGTGCTCTGCAACGGGAGAGGCCACAACAGTGAGAGGCCCACGTGCCACAAAAAAAAAAAAAAGAAAGAAAGAAAGAAACTGAAGCACCCAAAAGTTAAGTAACTTGTTCAAGGTCTGCCAACTAATAAGATGATTTTTAACTTAGGTCAGCCTATATTAAGAGTCCACACTCAGCCACTTGCTACACTGCAACGTGGGTCTCAGGGAAGCCATAAAAGGGACAACGCATGCTTTTTTGGTGCAATAATAAAAATAATAGTAATAATCAGTTATTCCTCTTTATCAGTCAAGATCAAGCCTGGAAAACAGAAACACACTAGGTCTTTTAAACATAAGTAATTTCATACAGAGAATTGGTGCTGGTGAAGGAAGAGCTGAGAAGTCAAAAGGATAGTGAAGCAACCCAGGGATTAGCAATAGCAGAAATCTGTAGCCATCCTATACCTAGGGGGACAGAAGAGGAAGTGGTATTACCAGGATCCAAAAGCTGGGTCCATCTGATGAGAGCTGGAAATTTGGAAGATATACAGCCCTCAGAGGGCTATTGCAGGGTTTAAATGAGATAGTACCATTTAAAGCATTTAGTGCAGTACCTATAAGTATTTGCTAATATTGCTAGCTTTTCATCTGATTCTCAGGAAAACCAAACTACGTTAACACCCCTGCTCCTGTTAGAAAGGTCTGGGAAAGTTCAGGTTTCTCTTTAATATCAAAAGTATGTTGTCCACCAATGGGAGGTGCTCCTGCAAGATTCAGGCTCAGGTTACGCTATTTCCCCAAGTCTCAAGCTGGAGCCCACACCAGGGTCTTGGAGCTGCATGCGCTCCAAGTGTGAGACTGAGGTCCAGATGGGGAAGGTGACAGAAATGAGCATGGGGTGCGTAGGAAGGGGTTGCTGTGCCATAAGTCCACCACTAATTCAGACAATCAATAAATAGTTGTTACATGAATTAATGAGTAAATGAGTGAAAGAATATGATTGAACCCAAAGTGAATTAGCGTTTTACTAGGCAGCAGACACCTCTGTTGACAATGTATAAACAGGCTGAGATTTTGCCTGGGTTATGATGTTAATCTGTTAAACTCACCTTATCTTACAAGAAAGAGAAATGCCTTAGTTATTTTCCTAATTTTAAGACATTTTCTAATTTTAAGAGCTCTTTTATATGGATTGCGTCCATCCAGGGTTAGTTATCACCAAGGTTGGTAGGTCCAAGAAAGCCCTCACAAAAAATGTATACAGCTTTCAGCCAAAAGCATGTTTTTCTACAATGAATGTGGTTTCCAATAACAAACATTTTCAGACTCAGGCTGTAAGTAAAAGTTCTTGAACTCTTAAGACAAAACCTTCAATGTACAGGAAAACTCTTTGCTCTTTTTAGCAAATAGACTCAGCTGAAAACCAAGACACAGAATAAGTATAGATTTAACCTCAGTATGATGGTAACAGGTATGTAAACATTTGCTAGACTTTTCTCGTCTTTCTAAAATAGAGATGATTATCCTCACAACGTACAATACAAGAAGCAATATACCAAGGTCCCATTAACAGCTGAAGATCATAAACTGACATTCTAGTCTCAATTATAATTCCCAGCCAGGCTGAATTTTAAAACCTGAAGCACCTAATTTTCTGTTTCCTCAGCCATTTCAGTTATAATGTTCAGCCAGGTCTGAATGAAAGAATTTGGAGCTTACAATTTTCCACTTCCTCTATGCTAAGGTATCTCTACCACAGCGGTATTGACATTTGGGCCCCATAATTCTTTGTGGTCAGAAGCCATTCTGTGCATTGTAGGGTATTGAACAGCATCCCAAGCCTCCACCCACTAGATGCCTGTAGCATCCCCCACCCCAAGTCATGAGTGACCACCAAAAATATCTCCAGCCATTGCCAGTGTCCCCTGGAGGCAAAATAAGTTGAAAAACACTGCTCTATGCCACAACAGGGAATTTGGACTCTGATCCCCCAAAAGAGCAAATGACCTTGTCAGGAAACATAAAGTGTATGAGTTCAGACCTTCTAGATGCAAAGTTACCCACCTTACCTGCCAACCTCTCCACCCTTTAACTTTCAATTCCGACAGTAACATCCGTTGTTGTCTTTTTCAGAAACCACCCCCTCAGAGACAAACAGTAGCATGAAAGAGGTGAGTGGAAGCTGAATCCTGGAACCTAGTCAGGTAACAAATATTTACAAATCTCAAAGCTAGCAAATGGAGGTGAATACTATATATTATATGTGTGCTATATGTCATATACCATTATATGATAATATAAAATATATGATACATATTATGACAACATATTTTGATATATGTTAATTATAATATGTGTTAATTATATTATTATAATGTTCTCTAATATGTATTATGTATAACTATGATATATACATGTACATCACTATGTTTATTGCTACATACCTCACTATAGAGGTAGATAGATACAGCATGTATGTAAATAAGGGTGTATGTGTATGTATATATAGGTATGTGTGTGTCTGCCCCCTAAAGAGAAGATCTATCCCAAACCAAGAAAGACAGACTAAGCAAGACTGTATTAGGATATGCTGAGCTGTTGTAACAAAGAGGCCCAAATATCCAATGGCTTTAAAAAGATAGATTTTTATTATTTTCTGACTTATCAGTCCAGAGGCAAGGAATCCAGGCTGGTGAAGGGATTCTGCTCCATGAGTCCATTAGGTGTGTCCATGGTCTTTCCATACTGTTGCTCCATCATCCCCTGGCATCTTGTCCTCAACTGCATAGCCAAAGCTGGGTTGCTGCAATGCTGCATTCGTACTGGTGGACAGAGGAAAGAGGGTGCTCAGGGCAAGTTCTCGGGAGTACAAGGTGAAGAGGGGAGAGTAGAGAGAGGGCCTGTCTCCTCATCTACTCACTATATGATATGCTAATAATGTCAGGATAACTTCCTTGGAGACATGTCTTTTTTCTTTCTTTTTTTTTTTTTTTGGATGCATTGGGTCTTCATTGCTGTGCACAGGCTTTCTCTAGTTGTGGAGAGCAGGGGCTGCTCTTGGTTGTGGTGCGCAGCCTTCTTATTGCAGTGGCTTCTTTTGTTGCAGAGCATGGACTCTAGGCACACGGGCTCAGTAGTTGTGGCTCATAGGCTCTAGAGTGCAGGCTCAGTAGTTGTGGCACATGGGCTTAGTTGCTCTGCAGCATGTGGGATCTTCCCCGACAAGGGCTCGGACCCATGTCCCCTGCATTGGCAGGCAGAGTCTTAACCACTGCGCCACAAGGGAAGTCCCTAGAGACATGTCTTAAGGTGACAACCCAGAAGTTGTATATATCATAGCCAAACCTAGCTGCAAGAGAGGCTGGGACAATATGGTCTGTGGTTGGGTAGCATGGCCCAGATAAAATTTGAGGAATTCGTTCAATTATTAAAAGTAAGAGGGGGAAACGGATATTGTAGGACAATTAAGAGAGAGAAACCAAAAAGATGCCTGATAGGTAGTAATCATTTAGTGTCTGTAAACTGACTCTGAATTTTAACAAAAAGAACGATCCATGTCTCTGAGAATCTATAGTCTAGCAGAATGGACTTGTCCCTTATTTGCCCTACTCCCCACCCTCACCCTGCTCTACTCCAGAGAAACTGTTCATGCCTTGCCTTCCCACGCTCCAGGCCTCCAAGTACATGCTGTTCTCTCAACCTGAAACTCCTTTTCCCAGTTCCTCACCTGGCTGGTTCCTCCCATTCTTCCTTACTCAAGACTCAATTCAGGGGACTTCCCTGGTGGTGCAGTGGTTAAGAATCCACCTGCCAATGCAGGGGACACAGGTTCGAGCCCTGGTCCGGGAAGATCCCACAGGCTGCAGAGCAACTAAGCCCATGCACCACAACTACTGAGCCTGCACTCTAGAGCCTATGAGCCTATGAGCTTAGTTCCCTGGTCTGGGAACTAAGATCCTACACGCCTCGAGGCAACTAAGTCCGTGCACCACATCTACTGAGCCTGTGCTCTAGAGCCTGCACGCCACAACTACTGAAGCCCACACACCTAGAGCCCGTGCTCTGCAACAAGAGGAGCCACCACGATGAGAAGCACGCGCACCGCAACAAAGAGTAGCCCCCGCTCGCCACAACTAGGGAAAGCCCACGCGCAGCAATGAAGACCCAACGCAGCCAATAATTAATTAATTAATTAATTAATTTAAAAAAGACTCAATTCAGGTGTCGTGTCCTCCTGGATGGCCTCCCTAAACTCCTCCATCTTAGTTAATATCCCCCCACTATGTTCTTACAGCAGGGGTTGTGGGGTTTAGAAGTGTAGAAAGAGGTTTGAATCCCAGCACCACAATGGCAAGTGACATGGGCAAAATGATGACCTCTCTGTGTTAGGGTTCTCCAGAGAAACAGAACCAATAGGGGAAAAGATATAAAGAGATTTGTTATAAGGAATTGGCTGACAGGCCCCGAAATCTGCAGTCGACAAGCTGAAGACCCAGAAGAGTTGATTGTGTAGTTCCAGTTTGAATCCAGAGGTCTGAGGCCCAGGAAGAGCCAATGTTTCAGTTAGAGTTTGAAGGAAGAAAACAATGTCCCAGCTCAGGGCTGGAACTGTCAGGCAGGCAGGAGGAAAATCCCTTCCTCAGAGTTCTTATTCTAGTCAGGCCTCCAACTGACTGGATGATCCCCAGCCACAACAGGAAGGACAATCTGCTTTACTTCATCTATCCATTCAGATGTTAATTTCATCCAGAAACACCCTCACAGACACCCAGAATGATGCTTGACCAATATCTGTGTAACCCATTACCCAGTTAAGCTGAAACATAAAATTAACCATCACGCTCTTCAAGATCAATTTACTCATCTGTAAGACAGGGGTGGTAATGGCACCCTTGGATAGATGAGCAGTTTAGATGAGATAATATATGTGTAGTATTTAGCACAGTGCCTGACCCAGAATACATGTTCCATCTATGTTATCCATCATTATCTCCGTCAGACTGATAATATTTATATGGTGTGCTGTCACCCTCTAGACAGTGAGCTTCTTGAGGGCAGGAATCAGACCAAGCCCACATTGGGAGTTCAGCAACTGTTCATTGAAGTAATGAACAAATAATCATGTTATCAACAGGAGCATTTCTTTATAAAATGCCATTGCCACGTTCCTCAAAAAATTAAACATGGAATTACCAGGTGACACGGCAATTCCACTCCTAGGCATATACCCAAGAGAACTGAAAGAAGGGACCCAAACATATACCCGGACAAAAGTATATTTCCAAAAGATACATACATCCTTATTTCATAGCAGCACTATTCACAATAGCCAAGACATGGAAACAACCTAAATGTCCATTGACAGATGAATGAAGAAGATGTGGTATATATATACAATGGAATACTACTCAGTCATAAAAAGAATGAAATAATGCCATTTGCAGCACATGCATGGACCTAGAGATTATCATACTAAGTGAGGTCAGTCAGACAGAGAAAGACAAATACCATATGATATCACTTGCATGTAGAATCTAAAGTATGACACAAATGAACTTATTTACAAAACAGAAACAGACTCATAGACATAGAGAACAGACTTTTGATTGCCAAGGAGGGGGGAGGGCAGTAAGGGAGGTATGGAAAGTGAGTTTGGGATTAGCAGATGCAGACTATTATATATATTGTAGAATGGATAAACAACAAGGTCCTACTTTATAGCACACAGAACTACATTCAGTATCCTGTGATAAACCATAATGGAAAAGAATATGAAAAAGAATGTATATAAAACTAATCATTTTGCTGTACAGGAGAAATTAACACATTGTAAATCAACTATACTTCAATAAAATAAAATTTTAAAAGAAGAAAGCAGGGACCCAAATAGATACTTGCACACCTATGTTCTTAGCAGCACTATTCACAATAGCCAAAAGGCAGAAATGGCCCAAATGACCATCAACAGATGAATGGATGAATAAAATGTGGTATATCCATACAGTGGAATATTATTCAGCCATAAAAAACTGAAGTTCTGATTCCCACTACGACATGGATGACCTTAAAAAAATTATGTTTAGTGAAAGAAGTCAGACACAAAAGATCACATAGTGTGTGATTCCATTTATATGAAATGTCCAGAATAGGCAAATCCATGGAAACAGAAAGCAGATTCGTGCTTTCCAGAGGCTTGGGGAAGGGAGAATGGGGAGTAACTCTTTAATGGGTTTTATCTGGGGATGATGGACATGTTTTAGAACTACATAGAGGTGATGATTCCACAACATCATGAATGTACTAAATTGTCACTAACTTGATCCCCTGGGGATCAAAATCACCCCCAGTTAAGAACCACTTGTCTATTTCTAGAAACCTTACCACTTCCTTGTTGGTAAAAGATGTTCATAATAACTAACACTTATATGGTGTTTACCAGGCACAGACACTGTTCTAAAAACGTAGCATCTCTTCACTTATTTAATCTTCCCCAAAACTCTATGGGGTCTTAGTTCTGTCCTCATTCTAAACAGGGTACCTGAGGCACAGAGCGATTGAGTGACTTTCCCAAGGTTGCTCAGCAGGTGAATGGTGGGGTCAGGATTTAAACTAGTTGTCTGGCTCCAGCACCTGCTTTCTTGTGTTTTCTTCTGACCCTCTATCAGATTGGATTTTTTTTTAATTCTTTATCTCTTCAAAGTTGCAACAGGTTGTTGAGAATATCGAGTCACTTCTCACCAATAAGACTGTATGGGAAACAGAAAAGACGAAAAACATCACAGCCACGTTCACATCTATTCTCCAGAAAGTGGAATCAGTTGTTCTAGAAACTGCCTTGAAAGCCCCAAACCAAAAACTCCAGAAAGTCCAAAACCGTACTGTGGGTAAGAAGACGATAAGGCATGATACACACAGGGTATGGTTACTAACTGGGGTCTGGATTGAGCAATTAGAAAAGTAAGTAAGTACTGCATGAGTCCATTAATATAAAATTCTAGAAAATGCAAACTAATCTATAGTAACAGGGAGGAGAGGAAAGGTGAAGGGATGAAAAAAGGGCATGAGAAAAATTTGGAGAAATTGTTGGGGATGATAGAAATGCTCTCTACCTTGATTGTGGTGGTGCTTTTACAGATGTATACACTCAGTGAAGCTCATCCAGTTGTACACTCTAATACATGCAATTTTGCGTACATCAATTACACCTCTGTTTTTAAAGCTGTTTTTAAAAATTGCCAGTGGGGGAATTCCCCGGTGGTCCAGTGGTTCGTACTCAGTGCTTCCACTGCCAGGACCCGGGTGGATCTGGGAACTAATATCCCACAAGCCGCCTGACATGGCCAAAAATTTTTTTTAATAAAAATAATTTTAAAAAAAATTTTAAATAAATAAAAATTGTCAGTGGTTTCTAATCCTGAGTCTGGGATTCTGGCTTGAAGTTAGGTTTTTGTTTTTTTTTTCAACCAGTGCTTACATAACTTAACAGCACACGTCACAGTGATGCTACTTAAACCATCCCAGAAGGAACATCTTACTACATATTTTTAAAATAAAAATACTTTTATTAGGGAATTCCTTGGTGGTCCAGTGGTTAGGACTCGGCACTTTCACGGCCGGGACCTGAGTTCGGGGAACTAAGATCCCGCAAGCCACACAGCGCAGCCAAAAAAAGAAATACTTTTACTCTACTAGTCATACATATTCATTATATACCTATGTGATGAGATGATGTGTCAATTAGCTTGACCTTGGTAATCGTTTCACTATGTAGATGTGTGTGTGTCAAGTCTTCATACTGTACACCGTAAATATGTACAATTTTTGTTTTTGAAAATAAAAATAAATAAAATACCATAGCAAAGCCAAGTATTAAATTTTTTTAAAATTAGGAAAAAACATGTACACAAAACTAAATTGAGACCAGCCAAATCTGCCCACAACCCAATCCTCCAATCTGATACCCATGTAGTTACATGTCTGATGAAGAGACACACGTTTGTGGTGTATGTTACAATTTACATACGGTTGCACAACCTGCTTTCTCACTCACTACATTACTAACATCTTTCCATGTAAATCATATACATCATCATTACCTATGTTACTGTCTTCAATGGCTTATAGAGTTACATTGTATATATAATTTATTTATACTATATATTTATTTATACTATAATTTATTTATTTCCCTATTCTGGTAAATGCAGGTTGTTACCAAACAACCCTGTGACAAAGACCATTGAAAATTTATCTGTGTGTTTGTTTGATGTTTTCTTAGGATAAATTCATAGAAGAGGAATTGTTAGGTCAAAGGGAAAAAAACATTTTATAGACTTTTGACACATACCACTATATTGGCCTTCAGAAATGCTGTTTGCTGTGCTTTTTATTCAGCTCAGAGATGTCAGTGTATTTGTGTATGCCTAACTAACCATTTTGTTTTATCAACTTGCATGATAAAGTACTTTATACTCTATAAAAATAATAATTTTTTAAACTGTTTTAATAAAATAAAATTCAGTGTCTAACCTTCCTGGGAAACCAGAATCCGCACAATTTCTTTCAAAATTAAACCAGATTACGAGTAACTCTCATCTTTCCTGATTTGGCCAGTTCCTAACTGTTTCATCGATGACCAGTACCCTTACCTCAGGGGCTTTAGTCTTCTCATCTATAAAATGAGATAATAATGCTGCATATAACACACTTACAACTAGGGCTGGTAATTGCTATAACTTTGATTATTCTACTTTCCACTCTTTAGTTTTATAAAGTTTTATTTAAATAGTATCATTTTTTATATTCCTATCTACTTTATAATTGTATCATTCTTTAAGTGCTATTTTGTTACTTGCTTCTTTTTAACTTTTTTAAACATAAAAAAGGAGGCATAATAAGCCTACTACCCTCATCATCCAGATTGAATAATTTCCAACTCATGACCAGTCTCAGACTGATTTTTAAGATAAATATTCTCATGAGCTTATTTCCTGCTCTTTTTTTTTTTTTCTTTTGGCCATGCCATGTGACTTGCGGGATCTTAGTTCCCCCGACCAGGGATCAAACACATGCCCCCTGCAGTGGAAGCGTGGAGTCCTAACCACTGGACCGCCAGGGAATTCCCTTATTCCTGCTTTTCTGTGACTTCATTTTTATTGGAAGCATGATTCCCCATTAAAGAGATAAGCCACAAATTATTTAATCAGTTCCTTCTTAAACATTGAGGTCACTTCCCGTTTTTCACCGTTATCGTCTTTGCTGCTGTGAAATTAGCTACAATCTTTCTTGTAGTTAATTCTGTCCTCTTATCCATGATTGTTTTCCTAGAATAAATTCCTAGAAACAGAATTGTTGCTTCAAAGACAATATGCTAGAGAATATTATTTAAGAACTTGGTTTCAGGAGTTAGAGTCGTATTTAAATTCTGAACTTCAGTTTCCTCATCTGAACAATGGCTCCTCATGGCGTTATATGATGCTGTTATAAGATGATGATGTATAAGGATCTTAGTCCAGTGCCTGGCACATCCTAGACATTCAGTAAATTTGAGCTGTTTGTGTAGCTATGCACATTTTTAAAACTTATAATAATGGTAAGCTTGCCCGTTGTTTTTCTTACCAGCTGTTGAAACTCGAGTTGTTACAGACGATTGCTCCACGGGAGTCATCTTCAACTTGAACGCCCAAACGAACTCCATGGATATCCATTGCAGTGACATCATCCAGGGAAATACACAAGGTACATGTGGTGGCTGTATGCAGAATCCCTAAGACACGCAGAGCAATATCACTGTGTGAGTAGTAAGGAAAGGTCCACAATAGGCTCCTCCCTAATGGGTCTGTTACCCTAAAACTGTGTCATTTGAGTCTTTTCCTTAAAAACAAAAATCTTCTTAAACTAGAGGCTTTCTATTCTTCAGCATGAAAGAGACTTCTTTGCAGTTGAGGGGCTGTTCTACCTGGGTCTCAGTTTAGGTTCACTCAGAAGCAGTCCATGGACAAGTATAAGGAGTTCAGTTGTAATGATTTTATTTGGGAGATGATCCCAGGAAGCATCAGCAGGTGTATCAGTCAGGGTTCTCCAGAGAAACAGAACCAGTGGGGGCTGTGTGTATGTATGGAGAGAGAGACAGGGACAAAGACAGAGATTTTAAGAAATTAGCTCCTGTGATTGTGGAGGGTAGCAAGTCTAAAATCTAGCCAGCAGGCTGAAGACCCAGGGAAGAGTTGTTGCAGCTTGAGTGGCTCCGCAACAAGAGAAGCCACCGCAATGAGAAGCCCGCGCACCACAACGAAGAGTAGCCCCCACTCTCCACAACTAGAGAAAGCCCGCACGCAGCAACGAAGACCCAATGCAGCCAAAAATAAAATAAATAAAATAATTTTTTTAAAAAGTAAAAAAAAAAGAATACCCAATGTAGGATACCATTTATGTGAATTTTTAAACACAGAAAACAATACTGTATATTATAATGGAAACATGCTTATGTAGTAAAATTACAAATGTATTCATGGAAAGGCCACACTTCCACTTCAAGTCCGTGGTTATTTTCGAGAAGGAAGAAAGAGAATGAAATAATAGTGGGATCTTTAGCCATATCTAAAACATTTTATTTCTTAAAACAATACATAATTCTGAAGCCAATACGACAAAACTATAATATATTTTAAATCCGAGTGTAAATGTCTGTTATGTCTTTTTTATAGTTTTCTAAGTGTTTGAAATATAAGCTAAACTTTTTTAGAAAATAAAGATGTTTTCAAAGAATTCATCATTTACCACATGCTTGGTACTGTGCTAGGAGCCCTGTGGTTTCCAAATGAAGTATCTGGTATTAGTTACTCAGTAAGTTTAGTGCCTGTTGGAAAAATAGGATTAATCCACAGGAAATAATTAATGGACAGTTGAATTCTCTTTGGCACGGCAGGGACTGCACTTGAAATACGAATTTGGAGAAAGACACATCAAGCTGCCAGAGGATCTAGGGAAGACTTCCTGAGCCAGAGGCTGGGTTGGAGATGGGTCTTTGAGGAGGAGTTGTGAATATTTGGGTAGGAAGAGCAAGAGAGGAAAAGTAAACTTCCTAGGCACAGCTGAGCACAGGTGTGGCGATCATGGGAGTCTGTCAGGTATGGAGGGGGAAAGGGCAACAGAAGGAATGGTGGCACTTTTTAAGACTCCATTATTCTGTTTCCTCAGGTCCCAGTGCAGTTGCCTTTATTTCATACTCTTCTCTTGGAAACATCATAAATGCAAGCTTTTTTGAAAAGGTGAATGAGAAAGATCAAGTTTACCTGAACTCCCAGGTAGTGAGTGCCGCTATTGGACCCAAAAGGAACACATCTCTCTCCCAGGCTGTGACTCTAAGTTTTCAGCACGTGAAGGTGGGTGAAAGCTACAATTTGTACTTGCTTAGGTTTCATGGATGTTAGACCAAACAATTTTTAAATACTCCCAATTCAATCATTCTGGACCTGCACTGTGCAATACCATAGCCAGGAGCCAACTACAGTTATTGAGCATTTGAAATATGGTGAGTCTGAACTGAGATTTTGAAGACTTAGTATTTCCAGGTTTAGATTCAGTATTTCCAGACTTTGAAGACTTAGTAAGAAAAACAATGTGTTAAGCATCTCAATAATTTTATACTGATTACATGTATTGATTTATATTGACATATTAAAAGATATTATTTTGAATATAGTGCTTTAAATAAAATATTTTATTAAAATTAATTTGACCTGTTTCTTTTCCTTTTTTTTTTTTTTTTGCGGTACGCGGGCCTCTGCCCGCTGCGGCCGAGCACAGGCTCCGGACGCGCAGGCTCAGCGCCCATGGCTCACGGGCCTAGCCGCTCCGCGGCATGTGGGATCTTCCCGGACTGGGGCACGAACCCGTGTCCCCTGCATCGGCAGGCGGACTCTCAACCACTGCGCCACCAGGGAAGCCCTCTTTTCCTTTTTTTAACGTGGTAGTAGAAATTTTCAAATTACATAAATGACTCATATGATATTTCTCTTGGGCAGCATCATTCTAGTTCGTGGAATTTTTTTAATTGCCGGTACCTCCTACATCTGTGAAATTTGAACTGAGACATAGTGTTTATTCTTGCACAAAAGCCTGGAATTAATTATTAAGACTACATAATTCAATCAGAAGAAAAACTTTTATATAATTCATTGCCTTTTCCCATTCTCTGCCCAAACTCTTAAAGGCAGGAGGGTTAATAGCCAGACATAGTCAACTGTTTAGAAAGTAAGAGTTGAAAGAAATCTTGCCATTTTTTTGACAACGTGGATGAACCTTGAAGACCTTATGGCCAAGTGAAATAAGTCAGACAGAGAAAGACAAATACTGACTGATCTCATATATATGTGGAATCTGTAAAAACAAACTCATAGAAACAAAGGACAGATTGGTGGTTGCCAGCAACAGAAGGTGGGAGAAAGAGGTAATCGTGATCAAATGTTACAAACTTCCAGTTATAAGATGAATAAGTTCTGAGGATGTAATGGAGAGAATAGTGACTCTAGTTAACTCTAGTTAACAATACTGTATGGTATATTTGAAAGTTGCTAAGAGAGTAGCTTTTAAAAGTTTTCACCACAAAATAAAAATTGTAAATATGTGAAGTGATGGATGTTAACTAACCTTGTTGTAATAATCATTTTGCCATATATACATATATCGAATCATTACATCATACACTTAAACTTACACAATGTTATATGTCAATTAAATCTCAATAAGACTGGAAAAAATAAATCAAATTTTTAAAAATTTTTAAGAAAATAAGAATTAAGTGGGAGAAGGTGAGGAAAGGTAGGTTTTCTCCATCTGATGCATAAAATCTAGGAATGGAATTTTTGATGTATGGCATGGAGCAATGGAAGTGCAGCAAGATATCTGGGGATGGTCCAGTGGATTATCAAAGGAGATACAGCCGCCAAATAGGAGAGCATCCAGCTCACATCCTTGGCCCAATCAAGTGATGCTATGGACATCCTGGGGGCAAAAAAAAAAAAAAAAGAGATTGAAAACTAACTTTATTCTCTCCTGGTGATGTTTCTTCCCTACACTACCCCTGTCATTGTATGAGCAATTATTGTGTTGTAAGCGGTCAGGGCAGAATTGATGTGAAGAGATCAGGGAAATTTGGCTTAGAGAGTATTTGGGAGAAAAATTTAAATGAGCCTTATACTCTATTTTTATTTGACTCCCATGTTGGAAGATAAAGTCCTGAAGCCGATGACATCTTGTAAAATTCTGGCTCCCAGAGAGAGGTGGGTTCATTTTCTGTTATGTGGAATCCCAATAGAGTTGGGACTACGCGGACAGGTTCCTGGTGGTCATCCTCTTCACTTAAAATAGAAATTACCTGATCTCTCCTAACCCATGGTGTCACCTCTTTGCACCCTACCAGCATAGACTGACACTCTGAGAGCAGTCCCTCCCAAGGAAGGACATGATGAGCCTGTTCTATTTTCAGATAAAGCCCAGTATCAAAAAGGTCTTCTGCGTCTACTGGAAAGGTACAAAGGAGGGCGGCCACTGGTCCACGGAGGGCTGTTTCCTGATACAAGCAAACAAGACTCACAGTATATGCAATTCCACTCACCTGTCCAGTTTCGCTGTCCTCATGGCCTTCGACACACAGGTATGATGTAAACATTGAATTCCTCAAGCTAATCCTTTTGGAGGCCCTGCTTAGGTGGCCATAAATGCTATAAGGAAAATTTTTAAAGAGCGTGTGTCTGGAGTGATTGCAGAAGTGTGCTACTTTAGATAACATGGTTAGAGAAGAATTAACTATTCAAGCTGAAATCTGAATATTAAGTCAATGGGGTTACAATGTGGATGAATCTCAAAAATATCATGCTGTGTGAAATAAGTTAGGCACAAAGGACCACATATTGTAGGATTCCAGTTATATGAAATGTCTAGAATAGGCAAATCCATAGAGAGAGAACAAATTGGTGGTTTCTAGGGGCTGGGAGAAGGGGAGAATAGGGGGTAACTTCTTAATGGCCATGAGGTTTTATTTTGGGGTGATTCAAATGTTTTGGAACTAGAGAGAGGTGGTGATTGCACAACACTGTGAATGTACTAAAAGTCACTAAATTGTACTGTGTAAAATGGTTAGTTTTATATTATTTGGATTTTACCTCAATGAAAAAAAAGAAAAAGGTTTCAGGGAAGAGCATCCCAAAAAGAGATACATGTATGTGTAAAGGTCCTGAGAGAGAACAAACTTGGTGTGTTCCAGAAACAAATGTGGTTGGAGCAGAGTGAATGAGAGTGAAGTGGAAAAGTTCAGGTTGGAGAAAAGGGCACAGGGAAAATGCATCAGACTTCAAATGCTATGGTCAGGAGTTTAGATTTCATTCAAATTACAATGGAAAGGCAATAGAGAATTTGAATCAGGGATGCTGCATACTTATGTTATTAGAAGAAATCTCTGGCTCCTGGGTCAAGAATGGATGGTGGTGCAGCAGGAGTGGACTGGTAGAGAGATGATGGTGGTCAGGATTTGGGTGGCAGCAGCAAAGGTGGTGGGAGAAGGTCAGACAGGACACATATCCTAGACGAGGGGTCAGAGTACTGATGACATAGGCTGGGTGACAGCATACAGGAAGTCCTGCATCCCTCCCCTCCTTGCAGAGATGAAGGTGATCTGCCTATGTTGGGATGCCACATTCCAAGAGGTGGGGGAGTATAATCCCAGAGCAGGAAAGCCTGACTGTGAGCTCCTCTCTGCTCGGTCCCAGGAGAAGGATCCCACACTGACTGTGATCACCTACGTGGGGCTGAGCCTCTCTCTGCTGTGCCTCCTCCTGGCAGCCCTCACCTTCTTGCTGTGCAAAGCCATCCAGAACACCAGCAGCTCGCTCCACCTGCAGCTCTCACTCTGCCTCTTCCTGGCCCACCTGCTCTTCCTAACAGCCTTCGATAGAACTGAGATCAAGGTACTTATACTGTCCCAAAATACCCCTGCCCTGCCTCCAGTGTATGCTGAGTTCATGGAGCCATGCTGCATTGGACACCTTAATAAAATAGCCTTGGGTCCCAGAGGGAGGTTGGGGGAGAGGTACCAAGGTGAGTAGTGCTGCCGTTGATTATCAACCACCTTTACCTTCAATGACCTTGGTCTAATACCAGGTGTTCTGAACTCAATGTCAGTATAAAAGAGAGGCCCTGAGGCCATGCTCCACCCTGACAATCCCTCCTGGTGACACCTTCCTCCTTCCCCAGGTGCTATGTGCCATCATCGCAGGTGCCTTGCACTATCTCTACCTGGCCTCCTTCACCTGGATGCTGCTGGAGGGCCTGCACCTCTTCCTCACTGCACGCAACCTGAGGGTGGTCAACTACTCTAGTGTCAACAGGTTCATGAAGAAGCTCATGTTCCCAGTGGGCTACGGAGTCCCGGCTGTGATCGTGGCCATTTCCGCAGCATTCAGGCCTCAGCTTTATGGAACACGTGATCAGTGAGCTTGACTCTCACCCTGTGCCATGGACATATTTGAGGGCAGTGTTAATAGTGATGATTGGAATATTCACATCAAATGCACTCTACTTTCCCCTTGAGTATAAGGGCTCTAATCTCTTTCCCAGTGAGGCAGGGAAGAATGATGTAAGAGGCTCTGGAAGGGGAGAATTTTTTTTTTTTTTGCAGTATGTGGGACTCTCACTGTTGTGGCCTCTCCCGTTGCGGAGCACAGGCTCCGGACCCGCAGGCTCAACGGCCATGGCTCACGGGCCCTGGAAGGGGAGAATTTTGCAGTTAGGTCCCAACTTTATCTCTCCCATAATTTGTGACCTCAAGTCCTTAATTCTCAGTCCCCTCATTAGTGAAATGGGGATAATGGTCACCTCCGTGGTCCCACCTTCAGAATACTAGTGTGAAAATTCAACAGGACTGTACCTGTAAAATGTTTAATGTAGCAGTAACACATGATAGTGAACAATTAAAGCCTTCATGGTCAGCTGACATTTTCAGGAGACATTGGAAAATTCTCTGTTAGGAAAAGGTGTCATTTCATATCCATTTCATGTGCTTTCTCTGATCTCTCTTTGCGTCTCTTTTCCCATTTTTCCCAGCTGCTGGCTCAACCTGAACCAGAAATTCATCTGGGCTTTCCTCGGTCCCGTCTGTGCCATTATCTGTGTGAGTGAATATGTGGCTCTGATGTTCCTGACCTAAGAAGCAGCACCAGACATGGGTGCAAGATAGCACAAGGGACATATATTTTCTCGGTTGTATGATTTGATTTTTCCACCTGCTACCAATTCAAACCCATGTTCAGGGAGGTAGGAGCTGTGTACAATTTACAGTGGACATAGTCATCTTAACTTGTATTCTACATGGTCTGTGTCATTCCTGCAGGTGAATTTTGTATTTTTTATCTTGGTTCTTTGGATTTTGAAAAGAAAACTATCCTCCCTCAACAGTGAAGTGTCAACCATCCAGAATCTAAAGTAAGATGAAGCAAGTGGTATTTTCTAACCCTCTTTTCCTCTACTCACTTCCTACTGGTCCCTCCTACATATTGACACAGACATACACCCCACAACCAGGCTCTAAGGACTAGCAAGACCACTACCATCTTCCACTATCACAATTAATGAGAAGCTGTATTCACTAGAGTACAGGCTAAATTTCTGTGACCCAAAAATGGGAGTGAAATAGAAGTTTATTTCACTCTCACGCCACAGACCAGAGGTAAACAGTCCAGAGCTAATGGGAAGCTCTGCTCCACAGAGTGATCCAGGGACTCACGTTCTTTCTATTGTGTTGCCCCACCATCCCCTAGGATGTTGTCTTTATCAGTATCCCATATGCAGGAAGGAGTTGACATGAGAGTTGCAAGTTCCACATTTGCTCATATCCCATTGGCTAGACCTTGGTCACCTGGTGACGCCTAGCTGCAAGGGAGCCTGGGAAATGTAGTCTCTAACTGGGTAGCCCTGTGTCCTTGATAAATCTCAAAAAGCGAAGAGATCTAACACTAGACGGAAGAAGAGGAGAATGGAAGAATACAGCTTTGGCCACACAGCACAAGAGGCAATAGGTTCAGGAAGGATTTAGGTTAAAATATATTTTGTATAATACTATTTCAAAAAATTGGGAACTATGAGTATTTCTTTTATTTTTCAGCATCCATCTTTTTTTTTTTTTTTTTTTTGTTACACGGGCCTCTCACTGCTGTGGCCTCTCTCGTTGCGGAGCACAGGCTCTGGACGCGCAGGCTCAGCGGCCATGGCTCACGGGCCCAGCCGCTCCGTGGCATGTGGGATCCTCCTGAACTGGGGCACAAACCTATGTCCCCTGCATTGGCAGGAGGACTCTCAACCACTGCACCACCAGGGAAGACTTCAGCATCCATCTTAATTTGACATGTAATTTGTTGAGGTTTTCATTGTAATCACAACAATAACACATTTGTTATTTGTTCATTATTTGTCAAAAGTTTTCAAAATATATAAAGTTAAAAGTGAAGTTGCTTACTCCCTCTTTTCCTGCTACTTTTACCTCCCAGGGAATCCAGGGGTAACAAACTGCATGATATGATATGTCTGATATTTTCCCAGGACTTTTTCTGTGCATTTTCTGTAGAACAGACAGGCTTACATACAATAGCATCACTACACAAATTGTCCCTCAACTAGCTTTTCTCACTTATGTAATATGATATTTTAAAATTAGGAATATATAGATACAAAAGTAGGGTGACCTTACATCTCAGTTTGCCTGGAATGGTTCCAGGTTATGTTTGTTGATGCATTGTAATTATTAAAAACACTCCTTTTTCACTGAAGCATAGTTGATTACAATGTTCTGTTAGTTTCAGGTGTACAAAAAAGTGATTCAGTACACACATACATATGTATATTCTTTTTCAGATCCTTTTCCATTATAGGTTATTACAAGATATTGAATGTAGTTCCCCTGAATAGCACACATTTTGACCCCTCCATATATAAATGATATATAGAGAGAGAGATAAAGAGCTTTATCTTTGCAGTTTTAGAATGCTTTACGTATGTATGGTACTAATTTTGTTCTATATACTGTCCTAAATACTTTACATATGTTAAGGTCTCATTTAATCTTTGCAGTAACCCTATGAAATAGGAGTATTACAAAGATTAGGGAACTGAGTTACAGAAAAGTAGGGATTCCCTGGTGGTGTAGTGGTTAGGACTCAGCGCTTTCACTGCCATGGTCCAGGTTCGATCCCTAGTCAGGGAAATAAGATCTCCCAAGCCACGTGATTAAAAACAAAAAACACGCCAGATAGTAACTTGCCCAAGGTCACACAGTTAGTTAGTGCTGCCTTGGATTTAAACCCAGGCATTCTAGCTCCAGAGTCTTCACCATTAACAACAATGCTGTAGAAGTATTCATGTCCATCGTTAGCTTTTTTACATTATTGATTACTACTTCCCTCAGGATGCTGACACTCAAAGCAACAGCTCAGCTCTTCATCCTGGGATGCACATGGTGTCTGGGCATCTTGCAGATGGGCTCAGCTGCCCGTGTCATGGCCTACCTCTTCACCATCATCAACAGCCTTCAGGGTTTCTTCATTTTCTTGGTCTACTGCCTCCTCAGCCAGCAGGTAAACTGTGACCTCTTTCTTTATTGTTTTAAAGTTAAGAAACATTTGGAGATACATAGTTTAATAAACATTCAAATCCACGTTCTCTAAATTTTCATAGGCACTTGTGAGTAGTGTGTAAACACTCCCTATATGTTCTCTACTGTGAGATGCTATTGATTGTAAGAAATATTAATTTATTAATGGCTTTCAGAAAGTAAATAATTGCTGCATCAAGGAAATACCATGTTTTTCTTCAACCATCCCATGCGTAATAGTCATCTATTGCCATGTAACAAACAACCTCAAAAATCTCAGTGGCTTAAACACAAATATTTACTTTTCTCATTCTGGAGTCTGCAGGTTGACTGGGGTTCAGCTGATCTTGGCTGGGCTCAGCTTGACCTGGCTCCAGGATGAAGATCATGTTCAGGTCTGCCCTTTGTGACCCTGATGCTTGGGAGAAAGGGGAGCATCTCCCTAACATAAGTTCTTCTTATAACAATGGCAAAATCACAAGAAGGCAAGCTCTACTGAGCAAGGCCATTTCAAGGTGATTCTGTTTGCATCACCTCCACCAATATTTCATTGGCCAATAAGATCCCATGTCCAAGCCCAAAGTCAATGGGAGAAAAACACTCCATTCACCATGAAGCTAAGACAGGATGTAATGCTACTACAGAAGAGTGAATAACTGAGATCAATAAAGCAATCTACCACACCACTTAACATGAATTCTTAAACACATTTCCATGTGATGTATATCCTCTCTACGAACGTTTTAATAGCTCTATAATGAAATTACATAATAATATAGTTTTTCTAACATTTGATCATGAACATTTTCAAATATACGAAAAAGTTGAAAGAATTATGTAGTAAACATGCACATACCGATCACCTAGATTCTGTAAGTAACGTTGTGCTATGTTTGCTTAATCACATATCTGTCCATATACCTACCCTTCTATTCATCTACCCATCCATCCACATGTACAGCCAAAGAAAACTGTAAGCAACTCTTCTCAGTGGATGTATGCACTTGAGTGAGCACAATGCAAAAGACTTATTTGTACTCTTCCCCCAGTTCATCTCAGTGCCTGAGGCATCTCACAGTGTGAGCCTCCAGTTTTTCAAGATATATATTTTGTATTCAATATGGCTACTAAACACAAGCCAATTCATGTGTCTGCAGCTGAACAAAAGAAACAGTGTGCGTCTGACACTTGGGAAATACTGGCTGCTGTGGGCTTGTTGAGATAAAGCTCTAAGATGATTCCTTACTAAGGGGTGCTCAGGGGTAATGTGAACTGCATGCTGGCTCTAGAATTGAACCCCAGGCAAGACGCTACCGTGCTGTATACTACTGAACCACATTGACATACTTCTACTTAGATTTAGTTAAGTTATACTCATCTATAGAACAGGATACTATGCAACTATTAAATATAATGTAAAAGACTGAAACCCCAATGAAACTTGGATCTACATGATCCAGGCCAGGAGGTGCAGTGGCCAAATAAGGATATTCCAGCAGCCAGAAGAAATGCAAAATCACCCAAGTTCTTTATTTGTACTTCTCAAATACCATGAAGAAGACACATGGTCCAGCTGAGCTTTGTTGAGCTCGGGCACTAAGATTTTGAGGTCATTTATTACTGCAGCAAAACATGTCCTGACTGATACACTTCTTCCTCTTCCTTCTCCTCTTCCTCTTCCCTCCTTCTCTTCCTCTTCCTCTTCTCTCTCTTCTCGCACTCCTTCCTCTCTCCCTCTTTTCCTCTTTTCCTCACTCTGCATCTACACACCCAAAGAACCAAACTAGGAAAGGAAGAACAGCTCCTCTGAGGATAAGAGAGAGGAAGAAACTGAGCCGACAGAGCAGACACTCCCTAGAGAACAAAGGATGAGCATAGGCATAGACCATTCAAATGTTAATTTTTGTCTGGGCACAAGAATATTTTATGACCGGAAGGATATTCAAAATATATTAGTGAATATATGTGGAATCTAAAATATGATACAAACGAACTTATTTACAAAACTGAAACAGACTCTCAGACATAGAAAACAAACATTTTTACCAAAAGGGAAAGGAGGGGGAGGGAGGGATAAGTTAGGAGTTTGGGATTAACAGACACAAATTATCATATATAAAATAGATAAAAAACGAGGACCTACTGTATAGCACAGGGAACTATATTCAATATCTTGTAATAAACCATAATGAAAAAAATATGTAAAAGAATATATACATATGTATGTTTAAATGAATCACTTTGCTATACACCAGAAACTAACACAACATTGTAAATCAAATATACATCAATAAAATAAATAATTTTTAAAATTTTTCAAAATATATTAGTGAAAGAGTAAGTTTCAAAACATTGCTCCAGAAGGGTTCTATTTTGTTTATATAACATATGTAAATATTCATTGCTTATGCTATGTTATATAGTCATTCACGTGTGGGTAATGGTGTATATGGAAAAACACCACTTATTCTCAAGCAATTTTGCCACTCCCAGGGGGAACATTTATCAATGTCTGGGGACACTTTTGATTGTCACAACTAGGGGAAAGGGTACTACTGATAACTAGTTGGTAGAGGCCAGAGTTATTGCTAAACATCCTACGGTGCATAAGATAGTCCCCACTACAAAGGATGATCCAACTCAAAATGTCAGTAGTGCCAAAGTTGGAAACCTTGGTGTAGCAAATGTTGTTGATGGCTCTCTCATATCACTTTGGCATTATATTCTACATGCCCAGGGTTGCTTATTGTAAACACCTGTGACTCTGTGCCTGTGGGCTTCTTACTGCCCACAGGACATGCCTGCTTTATACACAGGGCAAGCTGGTGGTGCCAGAGAGTAATGGCCCTTGAGAGCAGCCATCAACCAATGACTGATGGGAGCTGGTAGATAGATGCCCCAGCTCCCTTGTCCCTGAGGTGGGATGACTCTGAGGTGTGTCCTCTGTTGTCTCCAGAGCCCCCGAGTGGCACTAAACCCCAGATGTCCACAGTGGAAAGGATTATGCATCCTTTATTAGCTGCATTCCCTTCTCCATCTCACTTCCCCACTGATCTATTGGTGTTTCCTGGGATCACCCCTCGAAAGATCTCTTTGCACTAGAACCCTTGTCTCAAGGTCTGCCTCTGGGGGACCCCAAACCAAGACACGTGGAAGGATACCACCAAAACATGATCAGTGATTTTTCGCTAGATTGAGGAACTATGTGTGACTTCTATTTTCTTCCTTTGCATATGCATATTTTGTTGAGTTTGTACAACAAATGAAATTATTGTGATAAAGTATATATAACAAAATTTATCATTTTAACCATGCTTAAGTGTACAGATCAGTGGCATTAAATACATTCACATTGTCATGCAAAAATCACCACCATCCATTCTAGAACTTTTTTTATTCAAAACCCAGTGCGGTACGCAGGCCTCTCACTGTTGTGGCCTCTCCCACAGGCATGGCTCACGGGCCCAGCCGCTCCGCGGCATGTGGGATCTTCCCAGACCGGGGCACGAACCCATGTCCCCTGCATCGGCAGGCAGACTCTCAACCACTGCGCCACCAGGGAAGCCCCTAGAACTTTTTGATCATCCCAAACTGTACCCCTTAGGCAATAATGCCCCATTCTCCCCTGCCAAGCCCCTGGTAACCAGTATTCTACTTTGTCTCAATTAATTTGACTATTATAAGGGTCTCATTCATGTGGAATCATACAGTATTTGTCCTTTTGTGTCTAGCTCATATATTTCACTCAGTGTAATGTCTTCAAGGTTCACCCATGTTATAGCATGTTTCAGAATTTTATTCCTTTTTAAGGAATAAATAACATTCCATTGTATGCATATATCACATTTTGTAGGAAAAGTTTTTCATAATGTCTCTCTCGTCTTTCTAACTCACTGACTTTTCTCTTCTCCATTGTTAACAAAAACAATCCTAGCATTTCCTTTGATGTTCCAGGTCCGAAAGTGGTTTGGCGAGATCATCAAATCTAAATCTGAGCCTGAGCTTCATACACTTTCCAGCAGGTTTGGTCCTGACTCAAAACCCAGTGAGGTAAGAAGACTTGTGACTTATTCTAATGTTTTACCCCTTGACACCCTGAACTTCCTCTCCATGTCTTAGTACAAACTCCCTTTCTTGCAGGGTATGTAGAAGAGTTCTTTTCCTGATGACCCGGTTTGCATTCCTCATTCCCATTGTACTGTTTCTCAGTGACTCTTCCTTGCCCGCTAACAGTGCTGGGTAAAGCATCACCAGCACCACTACCATCTAATGTAGAATCCTTTAGCGGGAGACTTACAATCATAGACATAGCAGAGTGGTCAGCATCCCCTGAACTCTCACTGTCTAAAGAGAGGTGGACTTGAGCCCCGTGGAGTTAGTGGATACCACAGAAAGGATCCAGGAGAGGAACCCCACCCCAGATGCTCCACATACCTATAGAGGAGGAGTGCATGTGATAATGGGACCTTCCTGGGAGAGGAAATGGTCCTGTTAGAAAGGGAACCTCTCTGGAACTTGGTTGCTGGATTTTCATCTGTTCTTCCATTGAGCTAACTCAGGACCAAGGCACCAAGGAATAAGCTCCCAGTACTCTCTGAGACGTCTCTCCACAGTTGCCCCCTAATTGCTCTTTGAGAAAAATGGGAGAATATACTTGTAAGAAACCATGTCACTAGATGAGCCAGATGGGCTCCAAAGCTCAAAATCCATAAAAATTCTCCCAATCTCATTTGGTTTTATGCCTTCCATGTACATGCCTACCACATCTGCTAGCCAAAGAGTCTTAGAATATGTTGTTTTTAAGCTAAACAAAACTGAGAAATTTCTGATACATTGTCTTCTACATTTCTTGAGAAAATATGGGATTTTCTTCAGTCGTGGAAATATTGAGGTCACTGAAGAAACATCTATTCCATACTGGAGGGAGGGAAAGGGAATTCATTCTAAATCTTTCCAAAAGAACCAAGAGGAAAATGGAACCAGTTTTAGGACAAAAGTTTTAGGACAGTCACGTCAGCTGATTGGAAAATTTTTTAACATATATTAAGCTTAATCATTCTCAATAAGAGTAAAATTGTGGTAGGTGCTAACCATTGGCTGTGACCTTTGAAACGTTTCCCAGATAATCCAAAATAATAAAGCTGCCAGCACTCCAGCTACTGGTTTCCCACAATGAATAAGAAAGCTTTATTATTATTATTATTATTGCTTAACATTGTGGAACTTGAATGAGTATATCTTTTGAAAGGGAATTATATATTATATATTTATATATGATATATTATATACTTATATTTTATATGTAGCTGCATTTAAGAAATACATTTGCTTTAATTAAAAGAATTTCTGAAGCTTTTATTTTTTATGCACAGAGTATGAGTAAAAAGCTAACAAAACCCTCTGTCCTTTACAGACAAATTTGATCTTGGGTTAACTTTCTAGCTCTGTTCCCCAGACATTTGATAACATTGGAAGGTCAGCTGTATAACCAGGGAATACTGTTTATGGGAAAAGTCATATGCTTGACTGGGTGGGAAATTCTGTGAATGAACCATAAATACCAGGAAGGAAGGCATAGCTTTGGACTTCCTGCATGCAGTGACTCTTATAACTGAGTCAGGAATGCCTATCCTCATGGGCTGTTGTACAAGATATTTGTTCCTCTGTGGGGCCTGAGGCATCTAAACCAAGCTGGAGCTTGTAGGGGGCAAAGAGAGTATTTGTTGAGTTCTACAATGTGTAAGACACTATGGTAGGCAGTGGACGTACAAAAAGCAATAAGACCAACACAGTACCTGCCTTCAAGGAGCTTAGAGTCTAGCCTTTCTTTATGGACAAAAACCAACATCCAGGGGGCTGAAATTCTAGAGTAGGATACTATATCCAAACTTTTTTTCAAAAAAAGAATTCTTCAACCTGGATTTTTGAGAAGTCCTCCCACTGTAAGCTAAAGAAGGCCACACCTTTCCTAGGATTCCAAAATGCTAGGATATCATGCCATCATTGCCTGCTGGATGGAGCTTTCTGGCTTTAACCCAATCCTGCTGTTTCTTTCTGTTTTGTTGTCATTTGTTCGTTTGTTCGTTTGTTTGTTTGTTTGTTTGTTTTATCCTTACACCTACCTTTAATCTAAACGTCTTGTTGTGGGGCGGGGGGCATGTTTTCCAGGACAAGTGAAAATACTAAAACTAGAACATTCAGCTCCTCATGGAAAGTCATACATGTGGATCTGGTTGGCATCCTAAAGAATGAAGGTGGGGACAAGAAGAATCATTATACATGTCATTCCTGGAGAGGAAATGCTTAACCTTTACTTCCTGAAGTGTTTGTTTTGCATAATGTGCTCTCAATAAATGTGTATTCAATTGGACTTCTCTTCACTGATGTGTTCAATCAATGCTTGTTCCTGGATACACAAATCATGACCATTGCAAATATTCCCTGGACTTTTTGTAAATAAAGAAGCCCTTTTCAAGGCCTTTTTTCAGTTTCTTGCTCTATCTCATCCTAAACTTGCTCTAAACTATGAGTTTAAACTAAATGAGTTTAAACTCATTTAGTCCCTCAAACCATCAGCTTCTTTCAAACCATCATGTTTACCTCCTGCCTTATCCAGGCTAAATCTCTTGATCAACCATGTCAAATGATCCTCTCCCATGCTTTCAACACCATTGCTTCCTCATTCTGATTCTATATTTAGCTGGGAAAACCCAAATCCAGGACTGACCCAATCATGGCAGGCACTGTGGATTGTCTACTCAGTAGCCATCACCACCATCACATGTTCCTTATTGACAGAACCTTGATTGTTTTCATATTTGGGATAGCACTGTACCTGGGTCCAGAGGTCAATTGAGATTGGTCTCAGCCCAGTGATTCTCAACTGGAGGTGATTTATCCCCACCATTAGGGACATTTGGCAATGTCTAGAGACATTTTTGGTTGTCATGACTGGGGCAAGGGGGGATGCTACTGACACCGAAGTGACAGATGCCAGGGATGCTGTTGAATATCTTACAATACACAAGACAGCCCCCACATATACAGCAAAGAACTGTCCATCCCTAAATATCAGTAGTGCTGAGGTTGAGAAACCCTGGTATAAACTAACCATAGTGATCTTATTCTTATTTGCTAGCAAATGGTTTGGGATGGGCATTTGGATCAATTCTACCCACTGAGATATAAGAAACACCTACTGGAACATATATTCTGTCCTTGATAAAAACAAACACAAATTCAAGAAGAGCTTGCCGATTACTTCCTAGTTTTAGCTGCTATCATATAATAATATGAGGCTTGGAGAGACGATATCATGGAAATACTAAGGGTGGAAGAGTGAAAAGACAGAAATAATCTGGGCTTTTATGACACTGTTGGGTTGCTGAACCAACCCTTGAACTTTTTCATATGTAAGACAAATAAACTCTTTTTGTTAAGCCAGTTGGGTCAGGTTATCTGTTACTTGCAGTCCAAAGCATCCTTCCTTATGAACCAATCCTGTCTCTTCTCTGCTCTCCATCAAGGCAGTGAGCTCTCAGAATCACTCAGCTAGGAGCCAATACAAATGTGTGTTTTCTGGTCTAAACAAGACCTTCCAGGCTACCTGGAACTCACTCTTCCTCTCCCTGGTCAACTTCCCCACATGGGGAGTTCTAGTTTTTCAGTCATTTCCCCAATCTGCATCCCCTTTCTCTATATAAGGTAGAAGACTGTCTCTTACTTCACAGAGAAAATAAACACCAGCTTATGAAAACTCCCTCAACTTTCTGACATCCCTTACAATTATACCCACATCCCCACTCATCCTTGATTCCTTCCCCCACTGATTCTCATCATCTCCTCCGTTCTTCCACAATGGCAGAGAGGGTCCCTCTTCTTGTTTGAAACTAACCTCCACCGCTGTGCTTTGGATCTTGTCTCCTCCTGCCTCTTTGGGGACCTTTCTCCATTGATTATCTCCTCTCTCTCCTGAGTCTTCCATCTCTCTCACATCCTCACATTCCTCAGTGGCATTTAAATATGCTAAAGATGGATGAGCGGGACTTTCCTGGTGGTCCAGTGGTTAAGAATCCACTTTCCAATGCAGGGGACACGGGTTCGATCCCTGGTTGGGGAACTGAGATCCCACATGCTGCGGGGCAACTAAGCCCACGTGTGCAGCTACTGAGCCAGCGTACTCTGGAGCCCATGCACCACAACTAGAGAGCTTGCATGCTACAACTACTGAGACTGTGCACTCTAGAGCCCGCGCACCACAACTAGAGAGAAGAGCCTGTGCGGCAACAAAGAGCCCATGCATCACAATGAAAGATCCCACATGCCACAACTAAGACCCAACACAGCCAAATAAATAAATAGATAAATAAACAAATACTTTTTTTAAAAATGGATGAGCAAACTTTTTCTGTAAAAAGAAATTTTAGACTTTTCAGGCTAGATATAGTGATAGATAGGTAGATAAGTGATAGATAGACAGACAGACATAAATACATTTGTGTGACATGTGTGTAAAGGGATATATGTGTATATCACTTTAGAAATACAAAAACCATCCCTAGCTCACTGGCCATACAAAAACAGGCTGCAGGAAGGATTTGAGACACACACACACAACGCTATAGTTTGCTGGCCCCCATGATAAAGAAAGAGAGATGGCAGATTCTAGGAAAATGGCCATCTGCACACATCTCAGTTCCCCTCCACTCTCTACCTTAATATATCTGCCTCTTTGAACCAAAAGTCTGCTGGGACCCATGGCAGCTGGGTGGGCATGAGAGTGATATCTCTGGGGGGTTCCCCAAAGGGAAATCTGGGGTTGAAATGTCTCCCCTATGCACCAGGTGGAAAGTTCCAAGGTAAGCTGAAGAATGCTCTGGGTGGAAATCAGACGCAGTTCATCCTATGAAGAGTCTGATCTACCAGGGTCCACAGACATCCTGGGATAAGGTCAGCATCACTCCTGTGTGTGTGTGTCTGATCCATCTGGCTCCCAAGGACTCCAAAAGGAGCTCTGCTCCTGAATCTAGAAGAAAGCAAGGAGATTGGGGAGCAAGGAGGCACCTCTGCACACCTGCCTAGTGCACACATAGACCCCTGCAGTGAAGAATCCATCTCCTTTCATCACTTGGGAAACTGTTACCACTTAGAGTTCTCAACCCCCACATCTGAGCCCCAAAGAAAAATGACAGCCCGTGAGAGGCCCCCAACAGCCAAAAAGAGGATGGTCCAACATAATTGTCACCCAGGAAAATCAAGCTGCTGGAGTAGACAGACAACAACTTTAAACAAGAATAATAAAAAAGAAGAATGCAAGGAGGTTCAAGTACAGCACCAAAACATTCTATGGAACCAAATAAAAAGGGAATAAATAAAAAGATGAATTTTACTGGATGAATTAAAGAAGAGGATGATCACTGTTAAGAGACAAATTAGTGAGTTAGAAGACCATGTGGAAGAAATATCTCAAAAAAAATGAAAAAAAAGAGCAAAAAAAATGCCAAAAGATGAAAATCATGAAGGAAAACGATCCGTCTTGGAGACCCAGGAGATCTACTATGGGAATAGTTGGGGGTAGAGGTTGGAAGAGTAGGGAGGAAGTATGTTCAGGTCTCTTCCACCCCAGAAGTTCCCCCTGCTACAATAACCATTCTATCTACTTCTCTTCATAGCCAAAACTCTAGAAAATTTGTTTACACCCTGCTGTCCCCACTTCCTCTCACCCTTCACTGCTCAGCCCACTGCAGTCTGATTTCTGCTTCCAACACACCCAAGAATGACTCAATGTCCCAAATGCTTCCTCAGTGCTAAGTTCACTGATGGCTTCTCAGTCTTTTCTAACTTGACCTTTGGGTCACATTTCACTCTGTTGGTCCTCCTTTCTTCTCTTTTTTGACAATCAAGTATTTTTAGGTATTTTTTCCAGCTTTATTGAGATATAATTAACAAACAAAATTTGTATATATTTAAGGTGTACAACATGATGATTTTATCTGTGTATGCATTATCCCCTTTCCTTCTTGAAGCATTCTCTTCTCCTGGCTTCTCTAACACCACACTGTCCTCCTATAAGGGTGGTCAACTCATCCCAGTTTGCCCTGGACTTTCCCAGATTTGGCACTAAAAGTCCTGCATCCCAGAAACCCCTCCATCCCAGGAAAACCAGAATCATATTGCAATCTCATCTTCTCCTGTCCCATAGTGTCTTAGTTTGGGCTCCCCCAGGAGCAAATTCTGAAACAAGGATTCTAATGCAAGTAGTTTATTTTGGAGGTGATCCCAGTGAACACCAGCAGGATTGCAAAGAAGTGAATCAGGGGAAGAAAGGAAGCCAATACAAGATGGGAGCTTAACCCCAGCAGGGACCTCTGGGCAATCACTTGGGACCTGCATCTCAGACTCATCTCACCTGAGGGATGAGGGAGCTGGGGCATGTGTATACCAAGTTCAGGCTTTGGTTGAGGATTGTTCCAGGAAGCATTTTCCCCCTGATGCTTCTCACCTGCCTTCTGCCAGATAAGGTGTTTTCCAGTGGCAGCTGCTGGCCAACAGAAGTCACTGAAAATGTGAGGACTAAGGATATAAGCAGGGCATGAGCACATCTGCTACATACAAGATTCTATCCTTGACCCAAGAGAAGTTCTTAGAACTTGGCAGGAGTTCATGAACCACCTAAATTTAACTGTGTTGTTAGCATAAGTACTTTTTCTTCCCCATCTCTAGTAACGATAACTCCTTCTTTCCTACTAATTAAGCTGAAAACCTGGAGTCATTCTTTAGGCTTCTCTTTCTCTCACACCCAACATCCAGTTCATCAGCAAATCTCACTAGCTGTATCTTCAAAATAGATCTAGAATTCTTCCTGCCTTCACAATTAGCTCCCTGGTCCCCATCATCCCTCACCTGCATTATTGTAATAGCCCCAGGAGAGCCACAGAGATGATTTATCAACAGACTCAGAACCCAACTCCTGCTCTCCTACCTCAGTCCAGGATGTCTATCATATCATGTTGTTCCTTTCCTATAACTGTGGGCTGAGGCAAGATCTACAAGGTTAGAGTTTTCAGAGATAATTCAGGTTTACGGACAGTCCCTTGAATGGCAGCAGGTGCTACAGAGAGAGATCAACCACTGAAGGCACAGAATGAGTCCTAATACCATCTCTGCCACTTATCCACTAAATGACAACGGACAAGCCATGAGACCCCTCTGGGCCTCAGTTTTCCCAGCTATAAAATGGGGTTGGTAATTATTCCAACCTCACAAAATCATCGTGAAGATTAAATGAGAGCTACTCCATCTATCTAGTGCATAATATATGCTTGACTAATCATGGCTTTTTTTTTTTAACCACCAAGAATGCCCAACCTT